AGGGATGGAGTTTGCTTCCGTGGAGCATCTATGGGTGGGGGACAGGCTGGGTCCCCCCTCAGCCCCAGGCTTTGAGGAGCAGCTTTGCAGGGACCTTTGGGAAGTTCAGGAGCCAGACTGCCCACTCTGGGGCCGTGCTGTTTCTGAAGGACATCTGTGTCCAGGTGCTGGCTTGGCCGCCAGCGCAGCATCCCCATCTGCAGAGCTGACCTCTAAATTTACTTCCAACCCACTGCTTTTTCCTGGCTCTTCTCCCATATCCCAGCTGTCCGCTTCGGAGCTGCCTGCTCAGTGCTCTGCTGACAAAGTTCCTGGTGACTTCTCCTCCCTTTTGACCACGAGGGGTGCCTGCAGGGTCTGTGTCCCCGCTCACATCCCTGGGGAATGCCTTTGCCTTCTGCTGTCACGTCTGTCCCTGCCCTTGTCCCCAGGACCTGGCCCTGGCAGGCAGGAGCTGGCACCTGGCCCTCTCACTGCTCACAAGCACTGCCATGCTGTAGGGTGCTCATCTCCCACCCTAACATGCCTGAGTCACCTTCTGCTTTAAAAATCTCTCCAGGAAACTTGTCTGGGGCTGGGAGAAGGCCATGCAGCCCGGAGTGGGCTCCTGCGAGGTTGCCCTCTTGGCAACAAAGCTGTTCTCTGGGCCAAGCAGGGCAGATGTTGGCTTCTCTCTCCATGTGGTTGTCAAGTGTCCCCCAGCCTGAATTCGTGCTGACCTGCTCGTTAGGAAGCAGGAACAGCCTCTGACTGATTCAGGCCTTGGCCAAAGCCCCTCACAGAACAGCGGTGGGGGCTGTGTTGGAGAGCAGAGCTGTCCCAGAAACATCTGTCCCAGCAGTTTGAACTCCTCCTCTCCCTTCTCCTTCCCAGGTCCTCTACCATCTCTTTGAGGAGTTTGCCAACTTTGAGCAGGTGACCATTATCGATATCATCCTCGGCTTCCTCAGCTTCTTCGTGGTATCGCTGGGCGGCGTCTTCGTGGGCGTCATTTATGGGGTGATCGCTGCCTTCACGTCCCGCTTCACCTCCCACATCCGAGTCATCGAGCCCCTCTTCGTCTTCCTCTACAGCTACATGGCCTATCTCTCTGCTGAGCTCTTCCACCTCTCCGGCATCATGGCGTGAGTTGGGCACGGGTGGGATGAGATGCCCTCCTGTCCCCAGGACCTTTTGGAGGATTTACTCTGGTGTAACCACAGCCCTCTGGCTGTCCCAGCATGGCCAGTACATGCCCAGTGAGGACCAGAGGTGTGTTTGGGCTGGGATATGCAGGGAGGCAGATGAGGGAAGTGACTCTCTTGAGGTGTCCAGTAGATCCCAGGGCACTGACAGCCCATCGCCCGTTCTCCTGGGCACACAGTAGCAGGCAGGGCTGGCTGAGCACTCAAGGTGATGTGGTTTTGTGCCACCTGTCTCTGATGCTCAGTGGAGAGGAGAAACCTCCTGTTGCCTTCTCTGGAGGCCTTGAGTAGTTGGTGGTCTCTCACAAGCCCTGTCATACTCTGGGGTTTGGTCTGAGAGCACAAAATGCTGCTGCAGGGCCAGGGGTGGGGGCTGTCCCCATATTCCCACGGCTGCTGAGCTGCCCTGACCTTGCTCCTAGGCTCATCGCCTCTGGCGTGGTCATGCGGCCCTATGTGGAAGCCAACATCTCCCACAAGTCCCACACCACCATCAAGTATTTCCTCAAGATGTGGAGCAGCGTGAGCGAGACCCTCATCTTCATCTTCCTGGGTGTCTCCACCGTGGCTGGCCACCACTACTGGAACTGGACCTTCGTCATCAGCACGCTGCTCTTCTGCCTCATCGCAAGAGTTTTAGGTGGGGTGTCAGTGTGATGGCAAAACCCTGGGGGACGATTCTGGGCGATGGGCGGCTCTCAGGGCCACCAGGCCCAAGTTCATCTTGCTGGGAAGGCTGGGGTTGACTGGGGGGCACTGCTCCGCCACGGGCATCAACCTTGGTGGTGGTTGGCTCTGTGGAGAGGTGGGATTCAGGCCACATTTGTGCTGCACGTGGGGTTGAGGGTGATGAGGGGTGTTGGGATGAACAGCACCACCAGCACCCATGGCCTCAAGGGGGTGACACAGTGTTGGACTGCAAGCTGGGCTGCTGGGGGGAGGTCTCTTCAGGGCTGAGTCTGCTCACACGAGGTCCTGTCCCACTCTGCCAGGTGTCCTGGTCCTCACCTGGTTCATCAACAAATTCCGAATTGTGAAGCTGACGCCGAAGGACCAGTTCATCATCGCCTACGGGGGCCTACGGGGAGCCATCGCCTTCTCCCTCTGTTACCTCCTGGACTATAAGCATTTCGACATGAGGGACATGTTCCTCACAGCCATCATCACAGTCATCTTCTTCACAGTCTTTGTGCAGGTTGGTGGCATGCAGGTGGTCACGGTGTGAGTTCGGGGGAAAGGGGCTTATTCAGGAACTGCACGTGTGTGTGGAGAGTGAGGAGCACGTCCCCAGCCTCCTTCCCTGACCCTATCCCTGCCTCTCTTCTCCAAAAGCTCTTGAGGCTACCGAGTGACACCGGCCCCGTGGTTTGCCTGGGCTGAGCCCATCCTGCTCCTACCGATGTGCCTCAGGGAGAGATCTAACCCACCCTCTCTGTCCTCTAGGGCATGACCATCCGGCCCTTGGTGGACCTGCTGGCCGTGAAGAAGAAGCAGGAGACAAAGCGTTCCATCAACGAAGAGATCCACACGCAGGTAACGCGCTGCGCCTGGCCGGCCCTTCCCGCGCGCTTCTCTTCGCCGCCTTAGCCCTCTTCTCTCTCTGCTTCTGCCACCTCCACCGCTGTAACCAGGCGGGTTTACAGAGCGGGAGCTGCCCCTAAATCGGTGCCCAAGGTAAGGGGGGACGGAGCGAGGGCTCTCCCCCATCTGTGTCGTCCAGTGCCCGCTCCGACCCAGACCTCCCCTGTGCCTGGTAGAGCTGCAGCCGGGTTGCTTAGGACCGTGCTGCCCTCCTGAGGCTCATCCTGGACCCACAGCCCTGGTTTTGCACGTCCCTGAGTGCTCTCACCCCTGTGTCAGCGTGGGTGTTGGTGTGGGGAGAGGGTGGGCAACAGCCCTGCGAGCTGCTTACAGCTTGAGCCTTCTCTTTCAGTTCTTGGATCACCTTCTGACGGGAATCGAGGATATCTGTGGTCACTATGGGCATCACCACTGGAAGGACAAGTGAGTTGCTGAGGTTTGGTGACGTGGGGGACCTGTGGAAGAGATGGGGAAGGGTTTGAATTATCATCCAGCAGGTTTCTCAGCCCTGTGCCCCTTCTTTTCCCCAAGCTCCACTATCCACACACACTCCTCTTGATGAATTATGGTCCTGGGCTGGGGGCAAGTGGGGCTGCGGGGCTGCACCCTTTCTCCACACCTCCTGCGATGTGCCCACAGCAGTGTGGGATCTGCTGGTTGCCGATCCCTGCAGGAACTCCAGACCATCCGCTGTGGGTGCGAGTGGCTGCTGGGTGTTTCAAAGGCTCGGGAGGGAGTCGGGGAAGCCTGGCCTGACCTGCACTGGTGGGAACTGAACTGTCTTCTGCTGGTCTGGGCCAGGGCTGGGGAGAAGGGAGTGGGTGCCGGGGCAGAGGAAGGTCTAACAGATCACTGCTCCTCCTTTCTCCACGTCCTCGGGAAGGCTGAATCGCTTCAACAAGAAGTATGTGAAGAAGTGCCTGATAGCGGGGGAGCGGTCCAAGGAGCCCCAGCTCATCGCTTTCTATCACAAGATGGAGATGAAGCAGGCAATCGAGCTGGTGGAGAGTGGAGGCATAGGCAAGATTCCCTCCGCTGTCTCCACCGTCTCCATCCAGTGAGTTCCCCAGCCCTGGCCATCCCATGTCTCTGACAAGCCCTTGGCAGAAGCTGAGCCCTCCCTGCTAGTGGCCGCAGGGCAAGGAGCCGTCAGGCCCTGCTGTGGCCATCACCGCGTCACTCCGAATCCTGTCTGTCCACGCAGGAACATCAACCCCAAGACCCTCCCCGTAGAGCGCATCCTTCCAGCCCTCTCCAAGGACAAGGAGGAGGAGATCCGGAAAATCCTTCGCAACAACCTGCAGAAAACCAGGCAGAGGGTAAGGTGTCCCCTGGCACCGTGTGTTTCCTCTTTGGTTCCCTGGAGGTGACCAGGACCACTTCCCACCAGAAACCCTTCACCCCCGGTGTCCCTGCCCTCCTGCCCCTCATGTTCCCAATCGGAGTCTCCCTCCCCAGGAGTTTTTCCTCCTGGGATGGTGCTGGGGTAGTGCTGAGGGGGAGGCTGCCTCCATTGGTGGCTGAGCCCAGCGTTTAAACCCTTGCTGAGCCAAGGTGGGTCAAGATCAGGCACCCCGTGGTAGCACACAAAGGGTGAGCCACCAGCTTGCATGGGCGTGCTCTGCCCACTGGTGGCTGCTTCACCTGTCTCCAAGGGAAACAGTGCTTTAACCTTCCTTTGCCTTTCTGTTCGTGTGGTTTTTCTCAATCTGTCTCCTTTTCCCAGTTGCGATCCTACAACCGGCACACGCTTGTGGCCGACCCCTACGAGGAAGCCTGGAACCAGATGCTCCTGCGGAGGCAGAAGGCCCGGCAGCTGGAACAGAAGGTGTCAAGGGGACGCTGGAGCAGAGATGCTGCCACAGGCTGGGGCGGATGAGGGGCTGGGGATGCTTCCCAGCCTGGGAGGGACATGAGTGTGCTGCATGGGGAGGGGACTGAGGTTCAGATGACACCCTGAGGGTCTTTGATCACCCCAGCCTCTGAGCAAATCCTTGCAGCACAGCTGGGAGGGTGCGTGCACGTGTCCGCTGCGTCCCAGCGCTGCTTCTCGCTCACCCCCTTGGCCTGGGGGCACTTCCCAACCTCCCCTTCCCCATTTATATCGACCCCTCCGATGGAGACAGTCCCTGTGCTCCGATTGCAGATGAACAACTACCTGACGGTGCCGGCTCACAAGCTCGATTCGCCCACCATGTCCCGGGCTCGCATAGGCTCAGGTAGGTGGGACTGAGCTGCTGCGGGAGCGCACGGGAGTTACTGTTTTCCACTGGGAAGTCAATTTGACCAGTCAGTAGATCTGCCTAGAGCTCAGCTCTCTCCATCCACGCAGCCACATTTCTGGCTGTGCCCCTTTGCAGATGAGAGGACCAGAAGTGCTCAGCCCCGAGACCTGCCTCTGGACTCCTGGCTTAGAATCACGCGTTTGCTTTTCTCATACGTGGTTCCTCCTGTCCTCTGTGTCCTCTCCTGCTTTGGGGACAGAAGTGGGATGTGACAGGGTGTGACGGTGCTGCCGGCACTTGCTGAGCCGGTGGTTAATCAGCAGAGGGCAGCTTTGCCTTTTGCAGTCCTGAGAAACAGGGCTGGGCTGTCTGGAGCAGCTCCAGGTGGGATGTAAAGATCAAAAAAAGGAATTAAACAGCAAGCTTGGAGAGTAGAGAGGGAGCGAGCCCGGGCACCCCAGCCCCAAACATCTGGGGTGCGTTAGCTGGAGATCACTTAGAACCTCCTTCCCCGGGTTATCCTGAGCCTGGTTTGTTCATGATACCGTGAGACGGCCGCTGCCTGACCCCGCTCTGCCTCCCCAGACCCGCTGGCTTATGAACCTAAAACAGACTCGGAAAACCTGCCCATCATCACCATCGACCCGGCCTCCCCGCAGTCCCCAGAGTCCGTGGACCTGATGAACGAAGAACTCAAGGGCTGCGTGTGCCTCCCGCCCTCGCCTGAGGATGACGAGGAGGGGCTGGTGATGCGAGTGAAGGAGCCTTCCTCCCCGGGCACTGACGATGTGTTCACCCCGGGGACCGGTGACAGCCCCAGCAACCAAAGGATGCTGCGATGCCTGAGTGACCCGGGGCCTCGGCCGGAGCCGGAGGAGGGGGAACCCTTCATTCCCAAAGGACAGTAGCAGCTGGCACACGAAGCCTCACACACCTCTATATGGTTTCTCTCTTCATTTGTTCTTTCTTTGCTCTCCTTTTTGGTTTCCTCTGTCACTACACACCGGGTTCGGGAAGGGGAGACCATCCTGGATAGACTGGGATTGCCAGGACAGCTCTGCCCGGCAAGCCCTGGGCTGGTCCCGAGGAGCGGGGAAGGAGCCCCTGGGATGCACCAGGCTCTTCTGCCACCGTGCCCTGGGGGTGACGGAAGATTTACTTCCCGGGTCTGGGATTTGCAGGTGCC